GTCCTCGGGGTGTTTTAGGGGTGGCTAGTTAACTGCAGGGTCCCTAGGCCTGCTGGGCAGAAACCTGTCGTGAGTCGTCCCCATGTGGACGCATTGCCTTTCGCCCGAGTCCCAGGCCGAGCAGCTCACAGGTTCAGAGCTCTTGGCTGCACTGAATTCTGGGCCCCTTTGAGCAGAGCATGTGTCACAAATCTTCCTCCAGGGGGTCCGGCTGTCACTTACCGGAATGACTGTCCTCTGGGGAAAGGAAAGTGCCCCGCCCATCCAGGAGGCTGCTAGATACTGGCCGTGCTGCCAGCTTTGACAAAGGCCCCTGCCAGGGATCCTGCGGCTGACGACCCAAGGAGTCTGGAAGCGGGTCCTTCCCTCCTGGAGCCCCCAGGTGAGGCCCCGCCCCCCCCGATGCCTAGGCTGCGGCCTGAGACCCTGAGGGGCTCAGACAGCCCTTTAAGCTGTCTGACCTGCGGCAACTCTATCTAACACGTGTGCCTGCTTTACGTTGCTGAGTTTGTGGCAGGTTGTTCAATATGGAAAACGAATATAATGCGTGATATTTTTAAATGCTGCTTAAATTAGAATACTAAATGCTGAGGAGGATATGGTGAAACTTGTGTATTTTTAATACGTATTAACACTGTTTTCTTTCGTTATGAGAGTTTTCACACATACAGAAAAGTAAGGAGAATACTACAATAAGCCCAAGTACAACCATGGCTTAAATTCAAAAGTTAAGGGTTTTCTATACGTCATTTATCCCTCCTCTTTTTGTATAATAATTTCAAACAAACCCCAGACACCCTTCATTTCCCTTCTCACACATTGGAGTAGGCTGACTTGAAGAAATGCCTGATTTCTTACATAACACCCTTGCCATTATCATGTGCAAAAAACCCGAAAAGTAACTTTGTATCAACTGATGCTCAGTCCATATTCAAATATCTCTAATTATTTAAAGAATATCTTGACCCAGTACATTTTTTTGGAACTTGCAATATGAAGCTGTATGCAACAAAAGCCTTAATCATGTTCCTATTCTTTGATCCAGTATGGCTATTCTGAAGATTTATTATAAGGAAAAAATCCAAAACATTACAAAGATGTGGCATCTATTAAAGAAATATTCAAAATGGTGAGAAATTGCAAACAAATCAGATATGTAATGTATCAGTCAGGGTACACTCTGGAAAATGGAACCCTTCCCAGGAGTCCAACAGCAGGAAATTAGAATGTGGAAGGGTGTTGGGATCAGCAGCAGTTCAGGGATTGGTGCAGAGAGCAACAGCAGGAAGTCTCTCCCAGCCCTGGTGGGGAGGGACGAGAGTGAGGGAGGAGATGGTCCTACCGGAATCCACAAACTGGGGCCACCTTGGAAGGGTGTATGAGGAGGCCGGAACCCAAGAGGAGACTGAGTCATCATTGGGGCACTGTCCAAACTGTCCTCTCTCTCTCTCTCTCTCTCACATGCACACACACAAAAAGAGAGAGCCACCTTCTGCCTTCTCCCGTTTTCCTTTCCTCCAGTTTCTTGCGAGTGTCTCCTGTTGGCTGAATCGGGCAGAAGCCAGTGGCAGAGGATGCTGGGAAGTGCAGCTGTGGGGGTAGCTCCCTGAGGGCCAGGGGTCCCTCTAACCTCCTGCTTGGAAGCCCTGTCAGGTGGGAAGTTCAGGGCATGAGTCTGAGAGCAACAGGCATCTGCCTGGCATGTCAGCAAGGGCCCTACCCTCCTTCCAGAACAAAGAAGGGCTAAATAAAAGTATCCAGCAACATCCACTCAGTGTGTTCCTTGACCATGAACATTATAATTATGAAGCTTGTGTAGAATTATGGAAAATGCTTGTGCTGAATTATGATACAGCATTATTACCAGTCTTTATCTTTTTGTTTGTACGCCACTGATCACTTTCTGACATAAAAGATAAATCTACTTGTTTATTGTGTTTGCAGTTCATTGACTGACACACAGGAGGGATGTCTCTCTCAACTTCTGCTACAGAGTTAGCTCTACCAGGGGCAAAATCTTTGGGTCTTTTTGTTTCTTTGTTGATATATCTCAAGTGAACTGTGCCTGAAACATAGTCGGTGCTCAGTAAATATTGCTGAGTGAATAAAGCAGTGTGAAGAAGGCAAAGGACAAAACTTACCTCACAAGGTTGTTGTACGGGTTCAATGAGAGGAGTGTGCGTGACCCTTGCCACACGGAGGGCACTTAGTGCACTTGGCGAACTAACGTTGCTTTCATCTAGGTGGCAGGGAGCAAGTCGGGGAGGAAGGACTGGAGAGTGGTGCCTATCTCCTCATAAGGGTCCCCTAAAAGGGAAGATAGAAGAGTCTTCCTCCTTCATTATAATTCCCAGAGAACCAATGTGGTATGATGAGCAGAAACCAGGATCTGTAACCACCGTTCCACTTACTAGCGCTGTACCTTTGGTCAAATTACTTAACCTCTCTGGGTTGTGCTTTCCTTATCTAACAGGTGGGAATGCGGTAATAATAATACCTGTCTCGGGAGATTGGATAAATAGTGTTGGCACATAGTGGATGTTCAGTGATGCTTGTTTCTTTAGTGCTGGCTCATCCCCTTCCTCTGGGGAGCACCAGCCAGTCCTGGAGCTGTCCGGAGTGCTGAAGTCATCCTCCCTCCCTCCCTCCCACAGGTACTCCTTCATTCCCCCCTTCCTTTCTGGCTTCGTTCCCCAGAGCCCTAGGATCTAAACAGATCAGATTTTCCAAGTGGCTTCTTCAGGTTCCTGGGGGACAGGGAGGGGATGAGCCGTATGTGAAGCGCTCCCCAGGCAGGACTCTGGAAGTTGATGGGCAACAGTAGCAGTGGCAACGCTGGCTGTGGTGGCAATGGGAGCTCCCCAGGCCAGAGTCTATTTGAAGAGCTTGACATCCTAGGACACTGTGCAGAAACCTAGGAACCCAAAGAAACAGTAAATCAGCCCCAACAGCACAGTCTGGCAGGTGGGTCTTCAGGAATCTTGCCCTGAAGAAGGCAAGCAGGATCAGGTGGGGGTAGGAAGGTGACCCTTGGGTACAGAAGGTGGAGGAGCCCTGGCTCTGATGGGACTCGCCCATCCCCCTCCCCTGGTTTCCAACCATCCTCCCTGTTTTAGTGTTTCATCTGTTAATGTAGCTAAAGGTGTCTTCTTCATCTTTCTGGGTTATGATAGTATAGAGTTGGTTAACTCCATGAACTTGGCCCTACGAGCCAAGTAATCTGTGGCTAATCCTTGGTGTCCATCTCTTTGATTCTACAAACACCAATGGCCTCCCCCCAGACACTGGGAAGGCAGTGCATTAACCCACCACACGGGAGGTGGGGGCTCTGTGGGCCCACCTGCCCCTGCAGGAAGGGCTGGCCTAGGGGTGGGGCCAACTTCAGAGACAAAAGCCACCTGTTTCCTAATTTTTATTAACAGCCAGAACATCCGAGCTGAGGGACTTTGGAGACCTAAACATCTAAATTAAGTCTTCCCTGTACAAATGGAACAACTGAGGCACAGAAAGAAACATGGTCTCCATCCCACACATCAGCAGCAGAGCTGGGGCTGGAACTGGCTCCTGCCCTGGTGCCCGGCTGGCCGGGTGGCAGGCCTGAGCCGTCTGTGAGTCCCTGCTGGCTGTCAGTGCAGAATTCCTGGGATGCTGGGTGTGGCCAGCGGGCTGGTGCTTTGTGGGACCTAGGGAAGGCCCTTCTTCCTACTCCTTTCTGTGCCTCGGAGGAGTTGGTTCAGATGTTTAGTTTTCCAAGGATGCCTCAGCTCTGATTTCATAAGTATTCAATAAAAAGAGGTGATTTTTGTCTTGGACTGGGCCACGGGAAGTCAAGCCCTGGCCCAGCTCAGCCCTAAGTTTCTGCAAGACCTCAGACAAGTCACTGCGACCCACTCAGAGTCACTTTGTCTCTTCTCAGGGCCTCTGAGAACAGAGGCAAAGCAGTGGGTCGCAGGTGCTTTGGAAAGTTCAGATTGAGGGACAAAGTGGCTATCATTACTGTCGGCCACTTATGCTTATGTTCACACGAGGAAATGGTTGGTTCTCTGTGAGCCCAGAACAAGCCCAACTCCTCCAAGGGCCCATCCTCAGGGGCAGGGATGCTAGGGGACCACTCTGAAGAGCGTGGCAGGAGGGCAGGGAGGGCACAGAGGGCTCCTTGGAGGCTGGCAGAAGAGCAGCTGTCCCCAAGTCGCTGAGCCCTGAGCTGGGGCAACCATAGTATTGTAGACCCGGAGGAACCACACTGGCCAGCTCGGCAAACTGGCTTCTTTACCGCTGGAGAGGCTGAGGCTTTGAGTGGGGCAGAGGCAGGATGGGGCCTGAAACTCACACTCCCAGCTCCCGTCCAGCTCTCTTTACACCACAGAGCAGCTGCCTCTGCTCAGAGACCCAAAGATAGTGGTGATGGTGATCGTGAAACTATGCCAGTTAGTGAGTACCTACTTACTTCCCTTTAGTATGTGCCACCCACTTACCTGCTTACCACAAGGAGTCTCCCCACTGTGCTCCACACAGTTCAGCCTGCACACAACACTGCCAGGCAGCTATTCTCATCTCCATTGTACAGACGAGGAAACCCAAGCCCAGGGGTAGGGGCTAGTGAGTGATAGAATGAGGGTTTATTGCTCTGTGCAATTCCAAGGCCCTCCTTATTCCTCAGCTCTGAACAGACCATCGCTGTTGGCATCTGGTGGGTGTCCTCTCACTATCTACATCTACCTTTCCAAGTGTCAGCTAATTCCAGCTGGGCCTCCCCAGGAAGTTCCCCGCTGAGCCTTCTCAGGAGGCCCTCCGGGCCTTGCCCCTGGCCCGGCCTGCTGCCCGCACTGCGGCCAGCTCTGCTCTCCGCTGGGGCCAGCCTCCTCATCAGCCCGGCCGTTTCTGAAGGGTGAGATTAAGTCTGATGCCGTCCAGGGGCACCCACAGTGGGGGCTGCTGGCTGCATGAGTGTTGTGGGAGGCCTGCCAAGTCCTGAGAGTGGGGAAGAGGCAAGGGTAGGGATGCAGGCCGAGGTCAGGCGTGAGCCATCAGGCCGCAGGATGGCATCAAGGTCCTGGAACAGTGGGATGGGGCAGAGATGCCCCAGTCCACATGTCCTGGTCAAGGAGGCCCCCATCCAGTTCCCCTCAGTTTCCTCATCTGTACAGCAAGGGTAGAAAGCCCTCTGCACAGGGCTGTGTGGCGTCAGAGGGTGAACTGTGTACATGCATTGTGAGTCCTCTGGCCACAGGCACACAGTGGGAGAGCTCCCTGTACCTTGGCCCTGCTTGCACTAGGGACCCATGGATGTCAGCAGAGTCAAGTGCTATGAAAGGGTGCTGGATGGAGGGTAAGATGCAGGGGAGGCTCTAAGGGGCACCAGGAGAACTCAGCCCCCTTAGAGGACCAGTGCAGGAAGGAATAATGGTAACAGATTGAAAGAGGTAGGATTTGTGGAATACCTAAGTCCCAGGGGCTGTGATAAGTATGTCACATTAAGTCACTTAATCATCACAATAACTTCATAAAGGAGGTTTCATTATCCACCTTTTACAGAAGAAGGTGATGGGGCTTGGAAACTCCAGAGACCGGTGTAGGGCCACAAGGGTGGGAAGCAGTGAGAGGGTGCCCCAGGTCCGACTCCACAGCCCACACCCTGAGCCCCTGGGCTGCAGCCCAGGAGCACGTGTGGGCCTCCCGAGGCTGCGGCTCTTCTGGCATCGTGGGTCCAAATCCCTGTCTTACCAATGAGGAAGCTGAGGTTCGGGCAGGGTTGTCTGCATCAAATTTATGTAGAAAGTGCTGGCAGAAAATGCTAGAAGCCTCGTCCTCATCCCCCTTCCCAGGACTGCAGAGGCTGGTGCCCTGAAGGCTGGTACTGGCTGCTTCACACAGGAAGGGTTGCCTGACCCGCCAGGGCCTGTGGGAGTCCACTTGCGGCCCCCCAAGGAGACCCCCTCCCCTGCCGGTTCTCTCTATGGTTCTTTGGGGTGCCCTCCTGTGGGCTGCTCCCCCTTCAATCTGGCCTGTGGGGCAGGGACCTTCACCCTGGGGGTGCTAGGTCCCTGGGACTGTGACCCCATCTTTGCCCAGGCTCTCCGCAGTGTGGCTGCCCAGCTGGCTGTGTACCAAGCTAACCAGGACTCCTCACTGATGCTGGTTTCTGTGGTCCTTCCCATGGGCTGTGACACCCCTCACGCCCTGGCCACATTTCTAGCCCACAAGCACATGGTAGCTGCTTTTGTGGGCCCTGTAAACCCTAGTTACTGCCCAGCGGCAGCCCTATTGGCCCAAGGCTGGGGCAAGACCCTTCTCTCCTGGGCATGCGGGGCTCCAGAGGGAGGTGGTGAGCTGGTGTCCACTCTGTCTTTGGCTGCCCGGGTGCTGCTGTCCATCATGGGACACTCCGGCTGTGCTTGTGTGGCTGTTGTGTCCTCCCACCAGGACATCTGGGTGGCCACAGCCCAGCAGGTGGCCGTGATTCTCAGGACACAAGGGCTGCCTGTGGTGCTGGTGACTTCTCTGGGACCTGGGGGGCAGGGGCCACAGAGGTACTGAAGCAGCCCTGCAGCATGGACGGCCTGAAAAGTAAGTGTGCGGGGTGCCTTCCTCCCGTGGGCAGCCTGGGCTTCATATGGCTGTGGGTGGGGAGTTTCCCCCGCATCAGACACTAGGCTGAGCACTTGACAAAGACCCACATTTAACCTCCCAGCAGCTCTGAGAGCTGGTCCTGCTGAGTCTTGCAGCTCAGAGAAGGGGAATAACATGCCCAAGCCGCAAAGCTGGCAGGTAGCTCAGCTGGATTTTGAGTTCTGATTCAGACATCGGGTGTGGAGTGGGAGCTGAAGACTCCCTTAGTCATTGCCTGGTACAGAGAGGGAAATGAAAGGGGAGGAAGGGCACCCCGGGGAGGGAGGCGGAGACATTCTCAGTTTCTTAGAGTTACAGTCAGAACTTTCATGGATTTGTTGATTGGTCAATAGCTTCCTGAATTTATCAAGCCCCTGCTGTGCGGGTGCTGGGTTGCATGGGTGACCAGGACAGACCAGGTGACTGGTCCCCCGGGGATGACTGTGTGATGTACAGACAGGTGGTTATGGCAGAGAGGTCAAGGCCATCCCAGGAACAAAGACCTGGAGAATCAGAGGAGGCATGGGGCTAGGTAGGCCCTGGGGGTTCTGAGAAGGCTTCTTGGAGGAGGTGACACCTGACCTGCCTTTAAGGAAGCAGTTAGCCGGGGACAGGCATGGTAGAGTAGGGTAGAGGGAGTGGTGTGACCTGGAAGACAGAGGGACCTTAGAGTTCCTCTAAACTGGGTTTTTTTTCAAGCTGTGGGCCATTTGGGCCTATAAGCCAATTTAGTGAATCAAGATGAACATGAGGGAGAGAGGGAAGGGGCGGGGAGAGGGGGGGTGGGGGGAGAGAGAGAGAGAGAGAAAGCGATAGAGAAGAACAGAATGACAGGAATAGAGGAATAGAGTAAACTAGAATGGAATGAAAGCAGCGACTGTGAACATACACTGCAGATGTACGTGACCAAGCGCTTTGTAAACAGTTCCGCCGACGGTCCCTGAGCACTTCCCCACGCCTGGCCCGGCCTGGCTCTGGGCATGTAGGGAGCAGCTGGCTGGGCTCCAACCAGCAGTGAGGAGCGGGACTGGCAGGAAATAGGTGTGTATTTAGGCAACAGAGGAGTCCAGCTGCTGGGGCAGCTGACCTAGTAGGGGATGGGCCGGGCTTTACAGAGCAGGTGACTTTGGGGCAGGGCCTGAACACAAGAAGCTGATTGCAGGAGGGGATGAAGGGAAGGCATTCCAGGCTGAGGGGTCACCTAGTGCAAAGGCAGCAGGCTAACAGGACTAGGAGAATGCGCAGTTCTTCTCTGGGTGGTTGGAGCATGGTGCCAGTCGGTGGGGGGACCAACCAGACTCCTCCCCCAACACTGTTGTTGCAGGAGATCGAGTTCAGCCACTGCGCTGACTTTCAGCAGCTAGGAGCCGAGTGGTTAGGGGCACACTCTCTGCACTCAGATAATCAGGATCCCAGACCTGGCCCCACTTCCTACCAGCTGTGTGACCTCAGGCAAATCACTAAACCTCCCTGTGCTATTGTTTCCTCATCAATGATAGGAGCCTAATAAAAGTCCTTACTTTGTAGTGTTGTGAAGATAAGGTAAACTACTGCAGATAAAGGGCTCAGAACCCTGCCCTGCGAGCAGTGAGCACTGCTTAAAATCAGTGCAAGCTTTGACACATTAACCTCCCAGGTTTGTGCATCGACTCCGTCTTGTGGCCAAATATGAAACAGCAGCTCTGGCTCCTCCTAAGACAAAGGGGAGGTGTGGTGAGAAGTGGAGAAGTGGAACAGAGACCAGGAAGAGGAGATGAGACAAAGGAAGGCCAGGTTTGGTTTCCCCCCAGTCCTGGTGGGTCTCCTTCGGAAGGCCTCTCCCCACTATTCTGGGGACAAGAGGGGGCGGTGCCAGCCCATACCCACATAGCAGGGCTACCCAGGAGCTCAGCAGAGGGTGGGCCTTCAGGTCCTGACTGCTGCATGATCACGGTCCTCATGCCCCAGCAAGGGGACCCCCAGCCTTCCTCGTGGCTCCACATTCCTGGATTTTTTGAGAAAGGGATTGCAGTAGGAACCTGGGCCACATTCAAAGTGAGTGGTGGTCCTTTTTTGGCTGGGGTTGCAGCCCAGGTCAGGGGCCCAACATACAGAGCACCTTTACCTTGGGCAGATGTGTGGGACCCTTACATTAGGCAGGGTCCCTTCTGGATTGGGGATGAAGTTGTCTAACTTATTTCCCAGAGCCAATGTATTTTACTAAAGGTGAAGGGGAGTGCGTTCATGTCTGCCTAGACCTTGAGGATGTACCCAGAGCCACAGTTCAATTTATAAGCTGATGATAAATGGGTAAACAAAATGTGGTCTGCCCACACAGGGGGTATTGTGTAGCCATAATGGTGAATGAAGTACTGATACAGGCTATTATATGGATGAACCTAGAAAACATCACGCTTAGGGAAGGAAACCAGTCACAAAGGACCGCATAATTGTCTGATTCCATTTATATGAAATGTCCAGAACAGGCAAATCCATAGAGACAAAGCAGACGAGTCGTTAGTTCACTGGGGTGCGGAGGAGGGAGGAATGGGGAGTGACTACTAATGGGCTGGTTTCGGGGTGATGAAAAGTGCTCCAGAATTAAGTAGTGGTGATGGCTGCACAACCTTGTGTGTATCCCCAAACCACTGAGTTCACTTTTTTTGAGTTGTAAATTTTTTAAAAAATTATTTATTTATTTTTAAAGAGAAGGGAGGGTAACATCAATGTGTGGTTGCCTCTCGAGTGCTCCCTACTGGAGACCTGGCCCGCCACCCAGGCATGTGCCCTGATTGGGAATCGAACCAGCAGCACTTTGGTTCATAGGCTGGTGCTTAATCCACTGAGCCACACCAGCTAGGGCTTTTTTTTTTTAAAGCGGAGTTGTAAATTTTTTAAAAGTGTAAATTTGATGGCATATAAATTATGTTAATTTTTTTAATATTACAAAAAGGGTACAAGCTGGGAGCCAGGCTGCCTATGTTCAGATCCCCAGCCCTGCCATCAGGGGCGTAAGAGTGCCTGGAGCCGCTCCTGAATCTCCCTGCGCCTTGATTTTTTCATCCCAAAAGAGAGATAAGGATAAACATACTTCTTAGTACTGTTGTAATATCAAATGACTAAATGATTGCAGAAGTACTTTAGTACGACTCAGAGTAGGTCGTCAGTACACATCAGCGCCTGTCAGAGACGCAGGGCAGAGGGAAGGTGGAAGCTGGTCAGAGTGACTGGCTGTGCAGGCTGGAAGGGCCGTATTCATGCAAAGCTATCCTCAGTTGAGGGGACCTTTTTTTTATCAGGTTGAACCCAGGTTGGGTGGCCCTGGATGTTACTCTCACATAGGAAGCAGATAGAGGGGATATTTCTCCTTTCCCCAGGTGGGCGGGTAGTGGCGGAAGATGGGTGGGGGTGGGCCTACGAGCTCCAAGCCGCTCTCCAGGGCCACCGGCTTCTGGGCTTCAGGGAAGGCCTGCGAACGTGCGCTTGCCACGCCTGCTTCCAGTCCTGGTGCTGTGCGTGCACTACGTGCTCCTGGGCTGCTTGAGCAGAGGGCCCGCCTGAGACAAGCCTGGGCCCAGGGCCTGGCGGATGGGAGGCTGGTCTTCCTGCTCTATGGCACCGTGCTCTTGGCTTTGCCCTACCGGAACCACTCCTACCAAACCCTTGGCCAGAGTGGGCCCCTTGGAGAGGTCTATGATGCAGTGCTCAGTGTCACCCTGGAGTCTGGCCCCATGGATGAAGCCTTCAAAGACTTTGGGGCCAGTGGAGAGGTGGCTGCCCTCCCAGAGCTGGAGCAGGTAGGTCAGTGCCGACCCTCAGTGGATTCAGAGCCTGGGCTGCGGGCAGGTGTGCGTGCGCTCCTCCCCCACCCCAGGCCTTTCTGGCCTTGGCCAGCTGCCCACCTGGCCAACTGGTCCCACCTCCACTGTGAACACATGACCTGTCCCTTCTTGGACAACTTGGCTGTCTGGTCTCTGGTGTACTCTTTCTTTTTCTCTCATAGGCTTTTTGTGTGTGTGTTTATGCAGGCACATCTGCCTGTCTCTGTCTGTCTTCTTTCTCATATTATTCCCTCTTCTGGCCTGCTCAGTCAGTTCTCCTCTTGTGTCTCTTTTGCTTCCATTTTGCTCTGACTTAATTTCTCTATTTGTCACTTCTGACCCAGAGGCTCTTCTCTTGCAAACATTCTTCCCCTCCTTTCTCTGTAGCTCCAGCAAACTGAAGATCAGAAGGAGAGTGCTGGGGTGTGGGAGAGCGAGAAGGTTTTCTGAAGTCACTGCGGTGAATCTGAAGAGTGTCGGTGGGGGGTTCGGCTGCCGGTACTAACCATGCATCTTGATGACAAGAAGACAATGATGTCTAGAGGTGGTGACAGAGATTCAGATGTTAAGGAGGGTCGTTCAACCAGTGATTCCTCTGACAAATGTGCACTGAGTCCTTCTCATGTGCCATTGTGCCAGGTGGCAGGGACACGGTGATGGACAAGACAGATCTGGATTTCGAGGAACTTCTGTTCTGTTAGGGTGAGGTAGACAATAACCAAGCAACCCAGTAACAAAATTTTATAGTGATAACGTTGCCAAGAAAACCAAACAGGACAGTGACTAAGGGTGGCCAGGGTGGAAGAGGATAGGCAGGGAAGCCCACTTTGGAGGTGGCACTGGAGCTGAGTGCGGAGTGATAAGGAGGCAGCCAGGCGGAGGTCTGGGTGAAGAACAACCCGGTGGAGGAAACGGTAAGTGCAAAGGCCCCGAGGCAGCGTGAGTGTCAAAGACTCTAGGGGCAGGCAGAAGGGAGTGTGGAGAGGCTGAGCTATCACGCGTGATGGGGAGAGGGATCCGAGATGAGCTTGGGCCTGGTCACATGAGGCATCGTAGACCATGGTTAGGAGCCTGAACATCTCATAAGGAAACCCATCTCATCAGTGGTGGCGGAGAGAGGCTGAGGGATGTGCCCGAGGTCACCCAGCTGGGAACTAGCAGCCGCAGAACTCTTGTTCTTGCTGGAGCAGGGAGAGTGGGTGTGGCCAGAGAAGTCTGAAGCAGGCGTGGCCTCTGAGCTGTGGCCTGGCTGCCTCAACGTCCTGAGAAAGGTCGGGCTGCAGAGGGCCTGGAGGGTGGGCTGGGGACAGGGTGACCTCAGGAGACTCCTGTTGGTTTGGACTGCTCCTTACCCCACGTGGAAGCTTCTAACCTCAGAAGGGAAGTCCTGCTGTTGTCACGATCACCACCACGTCAATCACAATTATACACCATCACTGTCACCATCACACACCAGCAACCCAAAGTCATGTCACCCCCCTAACATGATCATCACCATGGCCACCAGAAGCATAATCCCTTCCATCAGCGTCACCATACGCATAACCAACACCAGCTGAGTAGCTGCCCTCCCTCCACCCGCCCACCATTTATTCACTACTTAGTGAGCATCAACTGTGCACCAGGCTGTGTTCTGGGTTTGGAGGATACAGCCACGGAGAGGGGACAGGACTCCTTCCCTTGGGGAACTTCCAGTGACTTTTCACCAATAATCACATAAGCCTCCTCACCCCTGAGATTGTCACCATCCTGAGAAGCGCTGTGGGATGGAGGCCAGAGCACAGGATCTGAATAGGGAAGACCCCAGGTGGGATTCTGCCTCCTCAGGACAGCTGGCTTTCCTGCAAAACGGAGATGATGAAACCACCCAGGGGAACTCTGACGATTCGAGAGAATGCATGGCACAACCCAGCACTGTCCCCGGCGAGCAGGGTGCCCTTGATGAAGTGTGAATTTTATTATTATTTCCAACACTGCCGCCATCTGAAATCGGGTTCAGGAGACTAGGGGACTGGAGGCAGGCGCTGCGGGGGGCATCCTGTAACCCGTGTGCATAGATGTTCCTGAATAGAAAAGGCTTGGCTGTGTTTAAATAAGTTTGGAAATCACTTGGGTTAGCAATAGGACTTGTCAGGACTTTTAATGTGCTCTTCTGCTCATCTATGACTGTGTAACAGCTTATCCCTCAGTATAGTGGCTTAAGTAATGCCCCAAATTACTTTATAACATCCTACAATTTTGTGGGCAGGAGATTTGGGCAGGGCTTGTCTAGACAATTTTTCAGTTTCACTTGGCATTGATTGGGGTCGCTCAGTGGTGTTCAGCTTATAAACAGTCAGAAGTTGGCAAACTATGGCTCATGGGCCAAATCAGGCCTGCCACCTGTTTTTATAGATAAAGTTTTATTGGAATACAACCATGCTCCTTTGTTTCTATATTGTCTATGGTGGCTTTTGCAGTCCAACGGCAGAGATGGGTGTTTGTGACAGTGACTGTGTGGCCTGCAAAGCCTAACATCCTTACCATCCAGACCTCTGCAAAAGTTTGCTGACCATCCACCCAGAGGACCTTCACTCACGTGCTAAGTGCCTCAGCAGGGCTGGACCTGTCTTCCCACTCTGTGCAGCCTCTCCAGCATGGTGACTCTCCATGTGGCCTCTCCAGTGTGGTGGCTCTGGCTAGACTGACTTCTTATGGCCACTCAGGGCTCCAACAGCAAGGACTCAAAGATACAGGAAACAGAAGCTGCCAGTCTTCTAAGACCCAATCCCGAACCTCACAGGACAACTCCCACCATGCTCTGTCGGTCACAGTGTCACAGAGCCCACTCAGACTCAGGTGGGAGAGGGACAGAGGCCCCACCTCTTGAAGGCAGGAATGGCAAAGGATTTGAGGCCATTCTTATCTTACCACATATGTTAATACGTAAGTGTTCTCTACGGCGGAAGAGTGTTCAGGTCTCCCCCTCTGAGCTGACCCCTGAGCTATTTTTGTGAGGAGGGCCTCATCAGGCAAGGGTTCCATCTTTCTCGCTTGAGCAAAGGATGGCATTGCTGGTTGGGTTTGAGCTCTCTGACCTGGGGGGCAGCCATCAGGGAGGCTGCTTTCTGCTTGGACCCGATCCCCTCTGCACCTCTTCCTCTCCTTATCAGTCACTGAGGCTTGGAGTTTTCAGGTTCATGGTGTCCCTTAGGTCGGGAAACAGGCTTAGATCCCTGCACTGTGGACTTGGCTACAGCTCATTCACTATTCATCTATTATGTTTCCACTTGCTCATTCACTCATTCATCCATCCATCCTCTCATCTGCCCTTCCATCCATCTATCCATCCACCCACCCTCCAACATTTCTGATGCCTCTCTATGCTCAGCCCTGTGCTGCACATATCGAGGGCCCCGATATGGATGCACCTGTCCCACCCCTGGGGGCTCCTACAGATGCTCACTGCCCCGGCAGGTGCAGGAGCTGCAGCATGGGAATGTTGCTACCTGCCTGGGTTTCTTCATGGCTCCTGGGATCAGTGCTCTGGTGCTGGAGCACTGTGCCCGGGGCAGCCTAGAGGACCTGCTGCAGAAGGAGGCCCTGCAGCTGGACTGGACCTTCAAGGCTGCCCTGCTGCTGGATTTGATTCATGTGAGAAACCCCGCCCGCCACTGCCATTGGCCTGGAGCTGTAGGGGGAAATGGAGAAGGTAGGGAGACAAGATGCTCAGGCTTCCCAGACCTGGGCTGTGCTCACTTTGTCTGAGAAAAGTCTGAATAGAGTGGCAAAGGGTGAGGGGAGGAAAGAAGGTTTTCTGGGGCCCATGGGAGTTCTGAAAGGACCATGGTCCCCTTCATTCACCTCAGGCCCGATGGACACCCATTACGTCCATTGCAGGGCATGCGCTATCTGCACCATCGACGTTTGCCTCGTGGCCGCCGCAAGTCCCGAAACTGTGTGGTGGATGGCGGCTTCGTGCTACAGGTCACCAACCACGGCTCTGCGGAGCTCCTGGGCGCTCAGCCAGCTCCCCGCCCACGGCCAGCGCCGGAGGTCAGCTCACAGGCAGGCAGGGGTTCTGAGGCCGCTGTTTAAACGGGTGCTTGTGAGGCAGGGGAAAGGGCGAGGTAGCCGGTCCTCCAGCACTTTGTGTGGGGTGATCTGAGGCTGATGGCTGTCCTCTCTGAGCCTCAGCCCCTGGCCTGTAGATGGGGAAGAGCCCGCCTCCTCCTGTGGCTAAAGGGCGAGAGTGGTGACCCTACGTGTATGACAGGCCCGCCCAGCTCAGCCCAGGTGGGTGGTTGGTGGGTGACACTGTGTGGCCCTGCCCTGAGATCGCAGAGCTGCTGGGGACGGCCCAGAGCTGCTGCACATGCTCAGGACGGGCCGGGGGGGGGGTGGTGTCGGGGCACCCTTCCCGGAGTTGCCTTCAGTGTTGGCGCGTCCTGCAGGAGGTTCCGAGAGGCTGCCCCTCCTGCTCCTCCGGGCTCTCCGCAGACAGTTCGGCCTCTTCATCTCCACGTAGTCAGGGAGCTCTGCGAACGCGCGTCAGGACATTCGGGCCTGAGAATAACCACCAGACACACTTGCCTGGCTTGACCATCAGAGTTGGTTTCTGTGGCTTAAGCCAGGCAGCCTTCAGCAACTCTGCCAAAATGGCAGCGGTCAGTTCCAGGGCTGAGGACACTGTTTCTGGGTGAAAGCCCCAGCCCCTTCCTGCCTGTCCCAGTGTCATTGCCAAGGGTGCAGGAACTGCCCACAGCTCAGCACCGACCTTGTGTCTATACGGGTCTTGGTTCTTCCCCAGCTGTCCCACTTACTTACTGTGTGACCTCACACAGATCACTCAGCCTCTCTGAGCCCCAGCTTTCTCCCCTTTAAATGAGAATCAGATTTAGAATGGGCCAGACATCCGGCCCATGTCTGATGTGACCAGACTGCTTGGTCTCGGGGGCCTGCTTCTCTGCCTGGGTGGGACTCCTTCAGGAGCATCTCTGTCCCCATACTTTTGGGTGCACGAGAGGATCACTCACACCTTCCCCGTTGTCACCTGCTCTCAGACACTTCCTCCCAGTGCCAGCGTCCAACTTCAGAAACGTTCCCTCCCCTTCCATGTTCTCGGTCAGGGCTTCTGGGACTCCAGACCGCTCTTCCCGTTGTCCCCTGGCTGCCCCTATCCAGTCCCTGGGGCCTGTCCCCGCAGACACCCTGGCATCTCAGCTCCAAGCGCAGGGCAGCGGTGGAGCCGAGCCCACCATCCCTCCCACCCACAGTGGGCAATCTGTAACTCACAAGGAGGCCCGGCCGCTTCCTTTCTCCATCAAAGTAGCGCTCAGTAAATAATGAGCATTCCAGGCCCCAAATTTATGAGGTGGAGGAGTGGGAAGGAGGGGGTTCCGTCAGGCCATTTGTTCAACACTTTGCAGGGCTACCACCACCCCATCTGTCCACTGAGAGAGGGAGAACCAGCCAGACGGGCTTGCCAACCCTGCCGCTCGTGCAGGGGGCTGCAGGGCGCTGCAGGCCGCAACTCCACCCTGCCTCAGGTACAGGGACCAGGCCTGGAACCCCATGGCCACGCCGAGGTTGGGGTTGGGTGGCTGCTTCCTGGGGTGCTCTCCCTGGTCTCAGGGAGTGAACTGTTAAGGGCGCCGTCACTGGGGAACACCGACCAGCACTCGGCGCTGCACCAGTTCACTCACAACTCTGAGTAAACTCTTTCAGGTTCTGAGCCTCGGTTCCCTCCTCCATGAAATGGGGGCCACCGTGCCTGCCTCCCGGAGCAGTTGTGAGGATTCGGGGGCACACTTGAGACAGAGAGCCTGGTTCACGTGGCACCCAATAAAAATCTGCCTGGGTGGCTTTAGGGCTGAGCTGGTGAGGATCCTGGGGTCCCTCCTGACTGTCCCCCTAGGAAGCAGACTCTGTGAGTAACATCTTTTTCAACCCTGTGTGTGTGAGGCACTTGTGAGGGGAGTAAGTGCACCCTGTTCAGAGACAGTTAAGTGAGGCTCAGACACAAGAAGGGACTTCTCTGTGGGAAGCAGGGGGTCAGGATATGGGCAAAAGTCCCCTGATTCAAGCTCAGTGCTCTTGCCCTAAAATCTCTCGGCCTCATCCACGGAGCATCTCCCCCACGGAGCCGGGCGTGCCTTCTCCCTCAGCTGCCAGCAGAGTCCAACAGTCAGGGAGATGCACTGGGTGTGGACAGCTGGCACAGCTCAGGGAGCACAAAGCCCTGCCAGGCCTGGGCCGGCGGTACCCAGCAGGTTTGCAGAGGAGGGCTCTATCTCCATGTCAGAAAAGGTGGGAGCCTTCCATGTTGCTATTTGACTTTCAGTATCTGCTGACTAAGAAAATACCTGAAGACAAAATCTGCTCTGAAAGCAGTAACACTTTGAAATGGGTTTGTATTTTAGTCATCACAGCACCATCTGAACACTTTTGAAAAAGTGTTGTGCATGTGTGTGTGCGATGTATTATTGGTTTCATCTGCTTGCACTCCTCCGTGAGCGCACACAGCTTCCGGACCCTGTAGTCAGGGGCCCTCAGGTCCGAGGCTGCAGGCTGGGGGCCTCTGGGTGGATGGAGGAAAACACGCAGGTCGGCAGGAGATCCAGCCCAGTTGTGGAGTCTGCTTTTAGCAGCCCCGTGGCTGTGGGAGAATGGCTTAACTCCAGGAACCTCAGTTTCCCAGGCTGCAGATGCAGGCACTACCCCCGAACACAGAGGCCAATGAGGGGAGGGGAGGAGAGTGAAATCCAGAAAGAAGCTTCTCACAGGCCCCCAGGATGCTCTCCTCCTCACCCAGCAGAGGAGAGTCCAGTCCTTGGAGATGAACCAGCTGCGCCGCGAGAGAGCCCCATGCGGTCTGCACTGTTATTATGCCCCTTTTATCAGTGAGGCAATGGAGGCTCAGAGAGGGGTCGGAACTTGTACAGAATGTAAACGGATACTCTCAAAGTCCCCTCCCGATTCGCTGAAAGCCTGAACTTGTGCCCAGCCCCCCTTCCTCCCAGTGTCCTTGTGAATCCCTCAGCTCTCCCAGGCTGCCGAACTGCCCTCCGAGGTTCTCTGCCTGCACTGTGAGGTGGAGAAACCAGGCACCGAGTGAGGCCAGGTGGCAGCACCAGCACTGGAACTCAGATCTGTCTGCCTCAGCTTAGCCTGGCGGTCTCTATCCCACGCAGTGGGGCCGGGAGATGCACGGCAGGGGGGTGCCTTGGGGAAACAACGAGGGTGGTGAGGGTGGTAACAATAAGCAGGCAGTTTGCTTCACCTCTGGGGGGACTGGGCACCAGCAGGCCTCCAGGAGGAGGGGCTGGTCCGAAGAGGCAGGTGAGCCTCATGGGCAGCAGAGCAGCCATGGCGTCTGGGGGTGGCAGAGAGGCTGCGGGGTACCAGTCCCCTAATGTCGATCACCTCCTTCCTCAGCACCCCTCTCAAGAAGACAATTTACTGATCTCATTTCACAGATGGGGAGACTGAGACTCAGAGAGGTCATTGCCTTGTCCACCATCTCACAGGGAGCTGGTGGCAGACCAAGAATTTAAACCCTACTCTTCCAGCCGTACCCTGAGGTTGACTCTTTCCTGAGACCTGGGACCCTCTGCCTAGTCACACCCAGAGCAGACCCAGGAAAGCAAAAAGCCTGGGGCCACTGGCCAGCAGCCCTGGGGCCAGGAGCAGGGCGGAGGAGTACCCTCAGGCCTCCTCCCCACACCCCACAGGCTGGTCCTACTCTCCCTCCAGGACCCCGGGCTTCTTCTGAGACCCTCCTGGGGGCCTCAGGCCACTACCCACACAGTGTTCATTGTAGAAATCACCAGAAAGGTGGCATCGCCCCTCCCCTGTGCTGGCCACTGGTATCCTCTGACCTGAGTGCATCTGGCTGAGTACACTTGTTGGGAGGAGGCTCTAGAGGACACACCCAGCCTGGACCAGATCCACAGCCAGTGGGTGCTCCCCGGAGGAGCTGGGTGCTACAAGAAATGGCTGATCAGTTCACCTCACTTTGCCCAGTGGGAGCCCGAAGCTATCCCTGGGGCCTAGAACTCTGCAGAAAGGGAGCAATGGGCCAGCACCAGAACCCCTGAGGGTGGGGCCTGAGGTGCACCCTTTGAGTGCCTCCCTGACAGCCAAGCCCACGCTAAATGCCCCGTTTATTTTATTTAATCCTTGTTATAGTTTGAAGAACTGTACTGTTATTATCTGGGTTTTCCCGGAGAGACGCTGAGGCTTGGAGAGGTGAGTGGACTTGCCCACGGTAACTGAGGGCTGGAGTCCAAACCCAGGTTCACCCACATGCAGAGCTGGCTCTGGGAACCCCGACTCTGTACTGGGCCTCCTGGATCCGGAGCTGTAAGGCTGTTGGTGGCTGTGGTGGCACTGCTGATTCCCTGCAAGACAAGCAGGAGTGGTGAAGGGCACTGGGCCCCCAGCTGCCCTTGGGGACTGCAGTGGGAGGAGTGAGACAAGCCTGTACAAGTTTGTGGGGGCAGTGGAATGTGTGGGCCTGACTGAACTGGCTAATGGCTCCTGCAGGGCCAGCCCGTCAATCCCGAGGTGACATCCTCCTGCCTCCCCCTCCCGCCTGCACTCCCAGTCATGGCGGAGCACTGTCCAGGAGAGGCGGTGAGGTTGCTGTTGAAGGCCCGGTTTGTACCCACACGTGAATGTCCTTGTAGGAAGACCTAAGAGAGTCACTTCTCTCTGCAGCGGGAAGCATGCTTCTTTAGAGCAGCCAGTGTACTGGGCCCTTGTCTCGTGGGCCCCGGGCCGTGTGATCTGTACTCTCCTCTTCCCCGTGTTGTTCTTAGGGAGCTCGTATCCAAACCTGTGGCCAAACTCTAGCATGCATATCGTACAGGGACCTCAGGGACCTCACTCCTAGATTAGCTTTTTTTTTTTTACCAACTTTACTCTCCTTTGGTCCCAGTGTTCTTAGATATTTGTCATTTTATTTTGTGGCATTTCTTTATTTTCTTAATGCTTAAATCTTTTTTGGAACATAGAAATAGAGAGATAGAAATAGATTATTATATACATAGTCTACATATATTCTTTCTCCCTTTCTATCCACCCATTTATTCATTCACTTACTCATCCACTCATTCATCATATCCACCCACCCATTTAGTATCTGTCCATCCATCCATCCACCCACCCATGCATCTTTAAGGAGAACAAAGAATGCCGTGTCCACAGTGTTACTGTAGGAACAAATGCACTAGGTTAGTGTTTGTCAACAGTAGTGCTGGGCTAGGCATGGGCTCCTTTGCCAAGTCTTCTCTGCTCGCCCTGCACAGAACAAACCCATTTTTCCTCCCAGCTGTCTGTGCTTCCCCTCATCAGAGATGCCACCCCACACCGTGGACTGAACGAGCAGATATTTGTGGATAAATTGGGATTTTTGTTCCACCTTCGGTTCAAAAGAATCAACCAAGGTGAGAAGACCAGTGTTGCCAACTCAATGCTGCGGATGTCGGGGAGGTAATCCCAGCACCTGGAGCACCGGATCCGGGAGTGGGCTGAGGAATGGCGCGGGAGAGGCAGAAGACGGAAAGGCTGCTGGCTCAGATGCTCCCTCCATGAGGGGCCCCTTAGGACTTGACTGTGCCTCTAGCTTCAGTGGCTCTGGGCACGGGACCTGGAGCACAGTAGGTGCTTAGTGAGTCTGGGTTCCATGCATTCATTCAATGCATTCATTGTTTATTTATCCGACATATTTTGATAGTGCCCTGAGGTGTGCTAGGCTCTGTGCTGGGCATACAGGTATTGAATCTTTGCCCCCTCATATTCTTAGAGCCATAATGTCCCTTATCTCACTTCAGAAAAAATAATGTTCAGAAAAATATTTGCTGGAGGCCAGCCAGCGTACCACCAGGCCTGTCTCAGATCTCCTGACTCTCAACCCAGGATATCCCCCTAAACATTTCTCCTTACCTCTAAACTGTGGAAACGGAGTCCCCCTGTCTTGTGACTCAGACCCTTCCCATCCCTGCAGGTTGGTGGCCGAAGCTTTGAACATTGGGACAACTGTGGAGCCAGAGTACTTTGACCAAGTTGCCACATACTTCAATGACATACTGGGTTTTACTGCGCTCTCAGCCCTGAGAGAGCCCGCTGAAGTGCTGGGCTTGCTCAGCGACCTCTGTGTGCTCTTCGATGCTGTTCTGGGCAGCCATGATGTGTACAAGGTGAGAGTGCCAGGAGGCTGGCCTTCTCTCTCCCCCCTTTACCACTATGCTTACGTCACACATTTACTTCCAGTCATTTATTCATGTGTTTGTAGCAGGTTGCTATTGTTGTGTAATGAAGAACCCCAGACTCCAGGAGTGTAAACAATAAATGTTTATTACTGCTCACAAGCCTATAGGTGAGCTGGAAAGTTCTCTGGACTCGGGTGGACTCACTCGTGCTTCTGTGGTCAGCTGTGGATGAGATAGGAAGCTCTGCTGACCTTGGTTGGGCATCTCACCTCTCTGGAGCCTTGGCTGGGCAACTCAGCTCTGGTCCACGTGGCTCCCAGCCTCCAGCAGGGTGGTTGGGCAAGGGCAGACAGGTGAGTCAGCTCCTGTGCCTGCCTTCTGGGAGCTCTTGGTGCTGCAGGTAAAAGATGCAAGCAACCCATGGTGAAAGTATGATCAGGGGAGGCAGAGGAGTCAGAGAAAGCCTTCAGTCCAGCCAAGGGCAGACATGCTGAATAAAGAGCAAAGAAGGCTTCTTGGAAGAGGTGCCAGCTTCCTAGCATCACCCAGTCTGGGTGTGGTGGCTCCCAGTAGGCAGTGGGGGAGCATGCACTGCCGCTCGTGGCTTGAGAGAGCAGGCCTGGTGAGTGTGACGAATACCGAGTGGGCTATGATGGCCGGACATGGGGTGGGCCGGCGGTGGGAGCAGAGGGTGGGTGGGGGTGTGGAGAGGGCAGGGGGAGCCTTGGCAGAGCTGTCAAGACCCTGCAACATCTGTGCACCCCTTGATCCTGGCTTTGAATTCCAGCCTGGACACACTGACTTCTATGTGGCTTTGGACAAATGGCTTCCCCTCTTTGGGCCTCTGACTCTTTTATTTCTATAATAAAACAGAAATAATGACCCCAGCCCCAGAAGGGGACGGGGTCACAGAGGATGGTTGGGTCCTACCCCTGTGGAAGTGCTGAGACTAGCTTCCTGCCCCTCTGAGCTCGCTGTGGGGACCTTCCCACCCAACCCTGCCCTTTATTCTGACCCCGTTGCTGGGGTCTCCGATCAGCTGCAGACACGGCGGAGGGGGCGGGAAGGGAGGCCCCAGGATACGGTCGTACTCACCCTCCACTGGCCTCAGCCTTCGTTGGTGACCCCCACCCCCTCCCAGCCATGGCTCTCTGAGGGCACTGTGACAGAGTGGGCCAGGCCTTGGGGCTGAAGCCGGAGTGGGAACGACGCTTGGACAGGAAGCTTCCGAGCAGAGAACTAACCGTTCAAAGTGCGGGGCAGACTGCTGCCAGCATTATGTGCAGTATCCCAATGACAATAATCGGCACCTACTGCGCGCTCACTATGTACCGGATAGCAGGTGAAGCACTTTATAGATGTATATTAACCCATTTAATTGTCATAATAATCTATGAGGTACTCCTAATTAATACATGAGGAAACTGAGGTGACTAAATAGCCTATCTAATTACATATTCCCAGCGGGATAAGAAGCTGAAATTTGAAGTTGGGCACTCTAGTCTCAAGACTCCCCGTTAGGGGGACTCACCATCCCCATGATATGGACATCCTCAGAATGAAGCCACAGGTTCAGAGTGGCCCACAGGATCCTCCAGGAGCTGGCTCCGCCTCCCTCCCCAGCTGCATCTCTGGTCGCGCCAGCTCCACGCCCCTCTGTTCCTCACTCCCGCTGTGCTCTCTCCAGCCTCTGGCCGTTGCATGGGCCTTTCCCTCCTCCGGGAACACTGCTCTCCCTCCTCTTCACCTGCCTCCCGCCAACCCCCGTCATCCGGGACTCAGGGTAGTTTCCCGCCCTTCCCAACGCGGTTAGGAGCGCCTGTGTGATGCTCTCGTACCTACCCCAGGACAGCACAGCTGCACTTTACGGCTCCAACATAACCTCTCTGTCCCCAGTGCCTGCCAACGTGCAACACATGGTAGGTCCTCAGGAAACACACTTGTATGTTAACTGAATGTGTTGTGTGTTGAGGCCCAGAGTAGAAGTGACTTGCCCAAGGTCGCACAGCTGGTAGGTGGCAGAGCCGGAACAAGAATCTGCAGTGCCCATCCCCCGCCTGGCTCTGCCCACTGCACACACTGCCCAACACTGACCAGCAGAGACCAGGCCATTGACATTCCTAGCATGCAGCATCCCTGCTGCCCCTGTTCAGGACCCCATGTCCCTGCCCCAGTCTGTGGTGCTGAGGCCTAGTCTCCTGTGTTGGCTGAATTTCCCTTTTGCCTCCAGAGCCGCCCTGGCCCCATGCGCCCCAGGAAAATATTCCTTATCTCATCTGGTCTCGCTGAGCCCTGCAGCTTTGATCAGCCCTGAGTCACCCCTGGCCTGTCTCTTCTTCCCCTGTTAATCTTTTTTCACACATGTGTCCCTCCCAGCTCTGAATCACGCCTTTTAATCTACTCTGAACCCTGGCCAAGAGGTCTGCATCTTTCTGGCAGAGTGAAATGAAATAAAACAAGGCCCGAGCACCCCTCCAGATGTGGGGAACAGGGGGCCCATTCCCCGTGATGTGCGAGTGTGTCTCTCATCACTCACGCCATCCGCCTTGGTTCCCCCTCCGTTCCCAGCAGGATCTGGTTACTGCTCTCTAATCCGGTCTGGGCTGGGAGGCCACCAGGCAATCATTTCCTGGTTCCACAGGGGGCTGCCGCTCCCTCCCAGCACTCGCTGAGTGAGCACTTTTATGGAAAGAACTCTAGAGCAGAGCCCACGTGGGCTGCCCCAGGGGGTGAGTCTGGCCCTGGCCACACTTCCAAGTGACCCTGGACAAATCACTTCACCACTCTGAACCTCAAGCTCCCACTTGTGAGCAGAGTTGAAAGTGTTTATGGCTTACAGTTGTTCTGCAGACTATGTGACACGAAGGAAAGTGCTGTCCTTCGTTCGCTCGCCAACATGATGTAGTGTGTAGTGCTGCAGGTGCAGCCACAGAGGCCGCTCCCTGAAAGCACAGACTAGGGACGGGGCGGCATCGGCACTAGTTAAGCATCTACAGAGGGATGGCCCAGTCTAGGGATTGTCACAGGGTGTCTCATTTAGCCCTTGCAGTGCCCCTCAGAGAGACGGATCATTGTTCCTACTGTACAGATGAGAACACAGGCTCAGAGAGGTAGGGGACTCGCCCAAAGTCACACAGCAAGCCAGTGGTGGGGTTAGAATTCACATCTGTGTGTGTTAGTATGGAAGCCCCTGCTCTCACCTCTCCCCGGCTGTGTTCTCTCATCTGTGTTCTCCCAGCTGTGCTCTCCCAGACCACAACTGTGTACAACCAGTCATGGCCCCCACTCGCAGCCATGACCTAAGATCTAACTAAGTCTTCGAGAGATCATCCTCATGAGTCTGACTTCCTAGAGAGTGGATCCTGTGCCTGGTCAGCTTTCTGTCGCTGGGGTTGCTTACACCATGCTCTCCTTTCCAGCTCAGGCAGCAGGCAGATGGAGGGCTAGAGGTCAGCTTTCGCAGTTTGGAGAATGTGGTCTGGATGTGTGGCCACTGTGACGCTTTCTACTGCTTCTCCTCCCCAGTCTGGACCTTGGGTCACCCATAGGAGGCAGTGCTGGGTCCCCAGAGCAGTTGTACTGTCCTTGAGTTGCACCCACACACCTGGTGGGCTGCTGGTGGGGCCCATCAAGCAGCTGGTCTCCTGGTCTGCCTGAGAGGCAGGACTCAGCGCAGACACGTGTGTGAACCACGTGCAGGGCAGGATCAGAGGGAAATGCCACACAGCAGGCAGAACCTCTCTCCCCAAAAGAGAGAGAGAAAGGGCTGAGAGGCAGAACAGCATACGAGCTCTGGAGCTGGAGTGACCAAGTTCAGAGTTATGCTGTGTGATGTTGGTGACTGACTTAACCTCTCTGGCCCAATTTCCATCTGCAAAATGACAATAGTAATAATACCTACATCACAGAATTCCTGTGAAGTCTAGTGCATGATATTTGTAAAGGATTTAGAGCAGTCTCTAGCGTATAGTAACTACTACACAAGTATTTCAGCACTTACTCTTGCCTTCTTCCTGGTTCCAAGAAGGGGATAGGCCGGAAGAAAGCCAGGCTTCGTTCACACCTTCCTTTCCTGGGGTGTGGGTTGGAAGGCTTCTCTCTGTGGAAATACACACGGCTGGGGTGGGGAGTAGCCCTGCCGCTGCTCCAGTCACCACCAGCCCACAAATGCTGGGTGGACAACGGTAGGTGACATGGAGGGAGAGGGAGGTCACACAGCCCTGAGGAGGGGAAATCTTTTCCCCAGCTGGTGACCAGAAAGATTTTATGGACTCGACTGAGTGAACTGGGCTGGTAGAGGGTTTGGTTCTCAGCAGGCAGGGATTCTCCGGGAGCACTTCAGGCAGAGGGACCCGATGGTGGAGTCCTGGAGCTGAGCGAGTGCCCTGTGTCTGCGGAAAGTAGAAAGGTCTCTGCTAGGCTGCAGCATGGGGAACCAGGGGCAACTATTAGGAACAAGTCAGGAAAATCTGCAGATCGTGAAGGTCCCTGATTGCTATGTCATGGGGCATGAATTTTAAGCCATCAGCCACAGACGGCAAAGTTAACTATCTGAGCAGATTGTGGCAGGACTGGGGCAGATAACTTCCTGGTGTCAGCGTGGAGATGGCTGGGGTGAGGGAGAGAGTTGGGGGACATAAGCAGGAGGGCACAGTCCACCACCAATGTTGTATACTGAGTTACAGTGCCCTCTGTGGTCAGGGGAAGCATCACCACTATTGTTATTGTCCACCAGATGCTAAGGGAGAGTGGACACGCCTGGCTAGGAGGAGGGCTCTGCTCCCACCCCGGGGTGCCAGCCCGTGCAGGCTGGAGGAGTAGCAGCACAGGAACTGAGTTCTTTAGCTGCAGAGGGGGAGCCTCGGGAGGGGCAGTCACCATCGTCAGCCTGGCTCCCGGCTGGTCTGGCGTGAGGGGGCGGGGCCGGGGGGCGGGGGGCGGGGCAGGGCGAGGTTGGGAGAAAGCCACAGCACACTTGTCCTCAACTCCTGGAATAGGGCCTCAGGAGCAGAGAAGACGTTTAGGAGAAGTTTGTGGATTAAATTCAGATGGTAGACCTGGAACCAGCAGGTAAGGGGCTAGTTTCCATTCAACTCAATATATGAAAGTCAGGGTCACACGAAGGGGGAAGTGGCACCTCGAGAAGGAGGGACCCTCCTGTTAACACAGGTGAGCAGGCCAGGAAAGCCACTGGAGCTGGGGAGGAGGGCAGGGGGCCTTTAAAGTCCCTCCCACTTTTGAGATTCTGTGATCCTATCTTCTCCGAAACCATTAGCCAAGGAAATGGTGATGATGGTGCAGACAGAAGTCTCCATTTACTGAGCATCTGTGCTGAGCCTGGTTCTTGAAATGCTGCACCTGTCCGATGCATTCCACATGAGAAGAAACGGGCTCACACAGGCAATGCGGTCTGACCCCGGTAAATGGTAGAGCCAGGGTTTCAACCCACATCTGTCCAATTCCAAAATCTACATTCTTTTCTGTACATGTTGGAAAGCCAATGAGGTTTGGAAAACAGGATATATATTCAATATACATGTGCTCTTTTGCAGACTAAACTTCAGTCTGTCACAATGGCATTGTGCAGGCAGGGCACCCACGTCTGCCACCGAGGAGCTCATGGGCTGGGGCCACAGGGGGTGAGGCAAAGGCGGTCTGAAATATGCACACCCAGTCACTGCTAGAATGTCTGACGTGAGCGGCCTGGCCGAGCCCTCTCTGCGGGCTCCCGAGGGGGTGTGGCCTTGTGTGGGAGGTGGGGAAGACCAGGGAGAGCGTGCCCTTGTGTGGAGTGTGGAGGCTGTGATTTCTAGGTGGAGACCATTGGGGACGCCTCCATGGTGGCGTCTGGGGGGACTTCTGGACGAGGCACGTGCCCGACGTGCCCATTCACGTCAGGGCTGGGCTGCACTCAGGAAGGGCTGGGGGTCATGCGGGTGATGGGCTGGACCAGTCTCCCTCCCCTGCCTGCGGCATTCATTGGCTGAGGCAATCCCAGTGATGTGCTTCTGGAATTCTGGATTCTAAAACTGCGATAGAAAGAATGTACATTTCTTTCTTTTTTCCTATTATTTTAAGGTGCTATAAATCACAGAACCTGTGTTTAGAGGTTCACATGTCTTTGTTTTGTCTCATCATCCATCAAGAGTATAGAAGCTCCTGCCGAGAAGCAGACAGTCTGATGGAAGAGGCAGGACAAAGACCTTGCATGGTCACGCACACAGCTAGATGTTTCTGGGATGAGTCTGAGAGGAGCCTCAGGGTCTCTGACATATCCTTCCCATGCCCCCACTCTTCCTCCCTCCGTAGTGTCTCCTCCACGATAAAGTCCAAACACCCTGCCCCATCGTCACCAAGGCCTCGGCTAATCTCTCCAACCTCCCCTCCCCCTCATCCCACCCCTCAACTCAGCCCTCTAACCAAATGCAGTTGCTTGCAGTTTCCCACAGGCATGTGGGCTCTGCTTCTGGGCCCTGGCACCTGCTGCTCCCTGCTTACTCATTCTCTCACCTTCAAGAGACAGCTCGTGCACCACCTCCTCTAGGAAGTCCCCCGGGCTGGGTCTCAGTTCCCTCTCTGGGTTGGTGCTTCCCTTTTCACACTGTTGACCAGAGTTTACCCATCTCCCCGCTGAGCCGGGAGTGGAGACTGGCTTCGATTTATCTGTGCCCCACCCCCTGCCTTCCCCCGCCAGCCCCGAACCAGGCATAGATGGCATCTCCTCTCTAGAAGTTGTTGGAAACTCCAGACAGCTGTGTCCTCCCCCCCTCACCCCCTCACTGGAGCCCGGGATGCGGGGTGGGGATGGCTGTGAGGGTGGGAAGGGCAACATGGTCACAGGGACTCTCTGCAGCGCAGAGCCTGCTGGAGCCCACTTAGCGCATTGGGTTTCAGGGCCCTGTGTGGCGGGGTCGTGAGGCTCACCACACCTCAGTTTTGCCTCTTTGGAGACACTGTTAACACCGCGTCTCGGATTCAGTGCACAGGGCTGTGTGAGTGTCTCCTGCTCCTGCTCTGCCTCGATGACCCCTGCAGCCTGGCTGTCTGAGGCTGCGCTTGGTAACAGTTCACCACCTGGTGGCGGCGACCCTAGCTGTTAGTAGAGCCGCTGTACGGAGATGATGTGCATCACTGGTTCTTTTAACTTTTCACAAGGCTTTTGTGATGATCTCATGAGAAAATTAGCAGGGAAAACAATGACTCGAGGCAAGAAACCGAGGTCTTAGCTCTGACTGCAGCTGGTATGCTCAGAGTCCTTGAGCACAACGCTCTCCCTCTAGGTCTCGGTTCCCCTGTTGGTACAGCGAGGAGACCCCTTCCAGTGTTTCAGTGCTGCTTTAGGCTCTGGCTGGCAGCAGGAGCCACTCTGTGGTTTGGTTGGAGCAGCCAAAAAGTTGAAGCCCTAAGACCTCTGCCTCTGGCCGCCCTGCTGGTGTGCCCGTACGGCCGTTCAGAGCCTGCCCTGCACAACCAGACGTGGCGGCCCTGCTGGGCAGTCCTGCTTTTAAAAGGAACAACCTGCTTATCTGCTCTGACTCAGCCTTTGTAGGCTTCTCTACAGGTGGAAATTCTGTTCCTGGAGGTTGTGACTTCATCCTGAGTTCATCTTAACCCTCGATCTGTGTATTGTGCTTTTCCTCGAGGCCTCTATTTTAGGGACTGACCACCTTCTAGAGAGACAAGAGAGCCAGGCAAGGGGTACGGCATGAATCAGACTTGAGCGTATTACTTACTGGCTGGAACTGGAGCCATCACTGCCACCTAATGATTTCCCTAAACACGAGGTACGCTGCCACCAGGTGGTGACGTGGGTTACTACCCTCCTTCCCGACACACAGAATGCATGTCAGCAGAAGCACTGTCTGGACACTGCTCAGCCAGAGGAAGGCCACAGCATGGACACCAGAGGCCAGACCGAGCTAAAGGTGAGAGACTTTACTTCCTGTATCGGTGAGGACAGTGGGTGGCAGGAGAGTCTCGTCTGACCAATGCGTCTGAAGGAGACACCTGCCTGGGGTGGGGGTGGGGCCGATCACCTTTACGTGTTCTCTCCACGCCCCACGTGCTGAGGGAACACTTCTCCCTGCGGCCGCTCTCTCACTGGCCCCTCATCAGAAAGGCCCAGGCAGAGAGGCCACTGTTACTGACGGGCGGCCTGGGCCGCATGCTGGCGTGCAACCTACATGACATATTTATTACTCCCCGCCGTAATGACAGGGGGATCAGTGTCCCTGTCTTATAGTTGAGGAACTTAAATTAGAGAGGCAAGGTGACTAGTCTCAAGTCCCACAGCTTGTCCCCCGGGTCTGGTGGCCCCGAAGCCTGTGCTGTCCCCATGGCACGGTCGGGCTCCTCCTCGACCCTCGGGCACTCTCACAGACGCTGCCACTCGCCGAAGCCGGCCCTGACCCGGGACACTCTTCTCCCTCTCCCCCAGTGGACACTGTTGTGCCGTCTCCCTGCGCCCACTGGTCTGACGCCAGCCCTCCGCTGTCGCAGGTGTGATGGTGGGTGGACCTGGCCCGTGAGCACCCTTGGAGACAAACTCTGTAACCTCTGCCTCCTTTTGTAATGTTACTTTTCACGAACTGGTGCAGTATTTCTAGAATGATCTATTTTCCCTACCCCACCTCATCTTTTCCCCAATTCCTCAGCTTCAGCCAACCAGGCCTGGTGAGGAGACTAGAGCAGCCTGGGCATTTAAAGGCCCAGGGCTGTGACCGGGCCTCAGAAATTGGGTGTTCCAGGGGACTCAGCACACTGTGCTGCGGAGTGTTGGAGTAGGAGGGTACAGCTCAGAGAGGGGAAGTGACTCATCCACGGTCACACAGCCTGTGAGGGCCAACAAAGAGCAATCCTTTGCCCTGGAGGCTGAGGTTATGGGAGAGTGAGTTGGAGCAAGTCAGGGCTGGTGTGTCTTGTTGGGGGCATGGGCACCAGGTGTCCTGAGGAACAGAGGCGCTCTGATGTAAGAAGGGGGGATGCTGCGAGGAAATGGGGAGGGCGGCAAGCCAGTTTCGTCAGGCTGGCCTGGGGGCTCCAAGGGGTGAAGCCACCTCTGTCCCAGGGCGGGGTGGGGCACCTCTAGACCAGCTGGCCCTGACCCTAGTGCCCCTTGTGCCCCTTCCACTCCTAACCTCCAGGCAGCTGCACCCCCATCCCAGGGAGGCCCCCAGGTCCTTCAGCAGTTGGGGAGAATCACAGATTGTAGAATCCTGGCATCTTAGCATTCCAGATCTGCGGGCCATAGAATTCATTGATTGATTTTTTATTTCTCTGACAGGTAAATATTAACTCATTGAATCTGCACAGCAACTGCATGAGGCGTTAGGGCAACTGAGGCACTGAGAGGTGAAGTAGGTCGGGCAAAGTCACACAGCTAACAGGTGAGAGAGCCAGGGTTCGGGCCCCGAGCGTGCGCCTCCTGCTCCGGGCTGCTCTCCAGCGAGCGGCTGGAGCTGCGTGCCTCTGCCCGGCCCCTGCCTGAGCGGGCTGCTCACTCCTCTGTCCCGTCTCTTCCAGGGCAAGGGCGTGGAGGAGACCCGCTGGCTGGTGGGGAAGGCAGGCTTCCCAGCCCGCCCCGCACCTCTGGACATCAAACTTGGGTGAGTAAGAGGAATTTCCCCAGAAGTTTGGCCTTTTTTTTATGTGAAATTTAATATTTGTTGTTTTTCTGATTATGACAGTCTTACCTGTCCAGTGTGGAAAACTTGGAAAACACAGAATTCTTTAACGATTAAATAATGTCTACCTTCCCACTCCTGAGTCGGCACTGTTAGCGCTCCGGCAGGGTTCCTGCCGGCCTGTTTCTGCGGTTCTGTCGTGGACGAGATTGCACTGCCTGGACAACTTTTCCTGTGGACCTGAGCTCTCAGCTCCACATCCCCGGGGCCTGCTGTGCTGTTCAGAGCACGTTTAAAACACACTCGTGTTGACAGCATCAGGTTGCAACTCGGGGGTCCACCACGATTAGCTCGCTCTTTCTCCTGTGGCTGAGCGTGCTGACTTGTCCCATTCTGAGCTGCTTACAGGCAACGCATTGATAAAGATTATTGACCATTTGTTACCATTCAGACTATTTTTGCAGAGGTTGGAGGGCAAGGGACACAGGTATTGCCAATGCCTGAGAATTCCAGCTTCCCATAAATAAGAAGGTCCCAGGGCCTACAGGGGCGCATAGGTCATTCCACCGGTGGGGGGACTGAGCCTGGGGATGGCCAGAGCCCGCCCAGGGCCCCACGGCATGACCACATCCCAGCTCCCCGACCAGAGTTTTTCCTTTGTCAGCACTTCCCACTGGCTCCTCTCAGTTATTCCAGGATGCGCCCCTCCCAGGCCACCCCTGGAGTCTCTCAGAGATGAGAAATGTGTGGGACACACCTGGGCTTCCTGGGAAAGGCCCAGTGCTAGGGCAGCTGGGTCTGTGTGTCCTCTGAGTGGGTGGATTGATGTGGACGGGGGTGGCAGGCAGGGAGCCAGCTGCAGCAGCCACTTCCCTTCCGCCCTGCTGTCAGGGCGCCCCAGGGCCTCGGGACCCCTAGGGGTCCTGGGGTGGAGCGGTGCCAGAGGACAGGAGCCGGCCCCATCCAACACCAAGTGCCCTCCCGCAACAAACAGCAGGGACCAGAGAGGCCGGGAGGGGACAGGGCGTGGACGGGCGTGGACGGGCGTGGACGGGCGTGGACGGGCGTGCACGCTGGCACACAGAGAAGCTGCCAGGGTACAGGACACACAGATACACCCTTTCTTGAGGACCAGGCTTGTTTGCATGAAGACCTCCGCACAGCTGCAGGTCCTTCAGTCCTGCAGGAGGTCTCTGTGAGGGCGGGCAGCTGACTGCAGTGGCAGCGTGGTGTGAGGGTGGGGCCTGGGTCCAGGACCTTGGGCAGGTCCCTGTGCTTTCTGCACCTCTGCATGGGCTTCAGCAGCCTCTGCCCGCCCACCCCCGGAGACCGGCTTTACCCTTCGTGCCAGCCCCACCCGCTGAGGGCCCTGTCGCCGCCCCGAGAGCACGCGCTCCTGGGCCTCGTGGCGCTCCACTTCCCACCCCACCTCTCGCCTGCACTCTCAGAAGCTGCACTTCTCAGAAGGCCTGTCTGCTGGTGTTGACTTCACTTCCTCACCTCCCACTCCCCCGCCCAGCCCCGAAGTCTGACTTCCACCCCCACCCACCCAGAGCGCTCTGAGAAGGTCTCCGGTGACGGCCACCCATGTCACCAGATCTGAGAGCAGTTTTAGTTTTCAGCTTAGCACCATTTCCCCTCTGCCCTTCAGCTTCCTAGAAACGCCTCTCCCTGCCTCCTGGGCGCCCTGCGGGGCTCCGGCCCCTGCAGCTCATCGTCCTGGGCTCCTCTCCCCTCCCAACCCTTACCTGCTGGGGGTGCTCAGGGCTCTTCCCCGGGGCTCTGTGTCCCATCCCAATGCCAAAGATGCCCCTTGTGGTCCTCGGGGCCCCTGCCGCCCTCTGAGCCCAGGACCCTGCAGCGTACACCACCCCTCACTCTGTCCTCCTGGAGCCCTCATGGCACCTCAGAGCCCTGGGTCCACCTGGCAGCTGGCCCCCCTCCCGAGTTCTCTTCCCACGGATGGCCTTGCTGTCCTCCCTCAGAAAGCCGCATGCTGTCCTGGGATGTTCAGCAATCCCACAGCTCGGCCTCCATCAGACCTCCGGCCTGCTAGCCCCCCACGCCCAGGCCTCTCTCCTGGCCACTGCAGGGGCTCCTCGCCATTGCCCCCCCACCCCCCAGGGCCTGTAGCAGTCCCCAGGGGCAGCCAGAGTGATCTTTTAAAGAAAACACAAACGTGATCAACATGAAAGTTCCCTGCTTAACCCTCTGGGGCTTCCTACCTGTCTGAGGCTCAAGCCCAAACTCTTTCCTGCTGCCACCGAGGCCCCACTCCCTCTGGCCCGTGCCTGCCCCCAGTCCACCTTCCACTGCCACGCCACCTGCTTGGGGCCTTCTCACTGTTCCTTAATATACACGGAGCTTCCTCCCATCCCAGGACCTTTGCTCTCTCTGTCCCCTGTCCCTGGAAGGCCCTGGCTGGCCCCTTCCTGTCCTGCAGGTCTCAGCTCTGAGGCCGCCTCCTTCATTGGACAGCTCTGATCACCTACTTCTGCTGTTGCCCTGCACCCCATCTCCCAGCACTGCGTCCCCACAGCCCTTGTTACTCCCTGATATTTCCTGTTGACCCGTGTATGGAACTCTCCCCCGCATGAACAAGCCTGCGTGTCCTGGCCACCATGTGCCTGCACAGCCCCCTGTGCTGGCGCCTCGGGGGAGCTGAGCCCTGGAGCTCGCTGCCGCCTTCCCCCAGCAGGCCCTGGTCCTGCGGGTGCAGGGTCCCCAGCTCCCGGCCCTCCCCCACCCGCCCTGTTCCAGGAGTGGGAACCAGCAGGCCTGGCGGCCATCGGTCATTCCAAGCTCCCTCAGCTGATGACTTTTCCACTCCTGGAGAGGAAACTCTAGAAAGTGCCGGAAACATTTTCATCTTCTTGGCTCGGGAGGGAGGGGAGTAGAGATCATTCCCCCAGGCCTCCAGGCAGGCAGGGGAGAATCCCACCCCAACCCAGGCCCACGGGCTCAGACCCGGCAAGTGAGCAGGCAGGGGACCGTGCTCACGGGCACGCACACGCAAGTGCACAAGCCTGTGCATGCACACCGCACACATCACGGGCATCAGGCGCGCACCCCCTAGCCTGCTCAGAAATGATATCACAGACAGACCCACAGACACACGGACTCTCTACAGGAAGGGCTACGATGCCCGTTGGATGGGAACTTGTCTTAGAGTTGCATTGATAAAGAAGACAGTTACCCAATTTTACTTGAACTGCCATTGCTCGATTTTTTAAAGTCAAATTTTCTAAGGATGCTTTTATCCTCCCTTTCTGTATTCTTCATATCTGCATAAGTTATGCACCTTTATATTTGGGCATGTTTGGGAAGACTGGTGGAAATTAGGGGAAGGAGGCGAAAGCCCCCTCCATGTCTTGGTGTGGCCACGGCCCAGGCAGTGGGGCCCACGGAAGTGCCTCCTGTCACGTGTCACAGAGACACTCCACGCGCTGGCCCCCCTCTCCCCTCTACCTCTGCTAACCGGGCTCAAAAGCACCCCCACCAGGTTGCTGTGAGTCATTCAGAGCCTGGCTCCCTCCTCTGTGCGAAGGCAGTCCCCCGGCTCTGCTCGCCTCTGGGCATGCGTGGGAGGCGAATGTGAATGTGAGTGTGAGCAGGGTGGGGGTCCGGTGTCCTGCCCGGCACCTGCACAGTACCCAGAGCATCACACAGCCCCTCACCCCAGTGGCCGTCCTAGGCCACGTCCTAAGGAAGAAGGGACAGAGCGGGGTCCAGCTCCCCATCTCCTGGGAGGCCTCTGGACTCAAAGCCACACGTGCAGGGGAGTCAGCAGCACCGCGCCTCGGCCCCCTGAAGTTCACATGGGGGCACCGGCCGGCCCACGGCAGGGCCAGCGTAGGGTCAGGAGAAGCTGAGAGGGAAAAG